ACTAAGCACAAGACCTCTGAAAGTCCTCATAATCTCTGATTATGACTTAACAGGAAGATTTCTTTCAAAATACATGTTTTTTTATTTTTAACCTTTCTTCCATTTGAAACATTTTTGTCCATAAAACTCCGCATTCTTTACAGAACTAGAATGCCACCTGATGGATGATTATCAGTAAATATTTATTTGGACGCCGTTAACACAAGCTCCAGAGGCAACATCCATATAAAATTACCTGTCTCTTGGTAACTTCACTTCCCAGTATTTGGGAACTAAACAAACTGGCTGTCATCCAGGACAGATTTAGGATGCATGGAAACTGCTTGAATCCCTGATTGTCAAGTGAGATTAAAGAATGGACAAAATTTATTATGGAACATTTTTAAAGAGCCAAAGCCAACATTTTTAGGACAGCCAAATATTTTACATTGGTAGCCTTACAGGGATGGAAAATAAATACATTAATTTACACATTAAAAACACTGGTTTGTAGTTGTAATTACAAAATACCTGGATTACATTGATTTGCAAAGCAAACTCTATATCAATTTGTACTTTCTCTTGCTTATCATGTTCATGTTGGTTCCAGCTGAAACACACAAACCAAACACAGCAGGAGTTTGGTTGCATCTTACTAAATGCAAGAGTAGCACATTGGCTGGAGCAGCCTGCTGCTTCTGCATCTGTCAAGGAGAGCTGGAAGGGGTAGAGGATGGTAGCAATTGGCGTCAGGTTGCATGAAATGAAGTTGGCATATAGTCTAAGCAGCTTCCTAGTTTTCCCAAGATCTGGATGGTGGGAAAGAATAGTGTGATTCATCATTTTCTCAGCACAGTAAGACCATGTATCTTAAATTTGTCTGTCTCAGGAAAAAGATGTGCATAACTTGGCAGAACTAGAGAATGGTTTCTCCTTCCAGCTGACGAAAAAATAGCGAAGAAAAAGTAATTCTGTATTAGCATTTAACAGGTTTGGAAATATTTTTATCCATTGACCTGAATAGAGTTATTTTTGATTCATTAACAGTGTACCTTAGAACAAGGTCTGTAAGCATCTGGATACAGCAGTCAGCTTTTCCTTTGCACATGTGGCTGGTGGAGTCCAGCAAGTGCCACTTTAGCATTCTGCGACCAAATGGACATTTAGCTGAAAAATCCTGCTCTTGTCAGTGTCATTAGGCATTCCAGAAGTCCCTCACGGGAAAGCAAGTGAGTGTGCAAAGGTTAGGGGGAAGAGGTTTTATGGTTGGGAACATCATGGAAAGGCAAATACAGAATGTCACAAAAAGATTAATGAAAGCAGGTTGGCTGTTGAACTCATTTGAATGTGGAGGGCAATGGCACCTTTCCCTGCTTACATTTGTAACAATAACTCATTAATTTCCTTCCCCTTTACCCCATGAAGTACCCTCGTATTATATATTTTAGATATTATATGCAGAACTGGGTAGAAGAGTATTCTGCATTTTGTAAATAACTGAATACATGTTCAAATATTTCATGTCTAAAGCACTCCAAAACTTACTCTGAAAAGGAGTGACCAGCATTTCTGTAGTCTGTGTTTATATCAGAATCCAAATAAATCACTCTGATACTCCCTGATGAATTTTGTTTACTTTTATCATCATTCTCCCTACTACACATCATTGTTAAATAAAATGAAGAATAGTATCAGTCACTAGAAAAGTATGCATCTGCTTTTTGTAATCATAACAAAGTATGTAGGGTGTGATCCAGAGATTTTTAGGTGTTTCACCCCAGGAGGGTGACTCACTGAGCTGGAGTTAGCCTCCATTTTGTTCAGTGGACTGCCAAAAGGTTGTTCAAGAAAACTCACATGTTGACTGGGGAGCTTCCCAGAAGTTAGGGTGCCCAGATGGAAGAGCATGTGCAAGACGAGGATACACATAAGCGTTCTGATGCCTGTGCAGTGAATACGTCTTTTTTTTCTACAGAATGGCTTGCCAGTGTAAAATGCATAAATGTTCTGAAAAATAAGGGTCAGGAATACCAGTGTACTCCCGTTTTGCCCCTTCTGGCTAGGAAGACATCATAGATGGGAAAGTGCCTCCGGTGGTAATTATGAGGTAGATATCAGAGGAATATAGATATCTGTGAGTTGGAATTATCTTGGTTAGAGGAAATTTAACCCAGGTCTGTCACTTGTTAGTGAGCACCCTAGTTGATAGGCTATTATATTTGGTTAGACTAGTGCCAGTCTTTTGAAGGACAATGACGGGTGTACACTGGACTTAATGTGTTATTCAGGGATCATGCAGTGTTTCCTGCAACTACACTGAAGTCATCTCCAGGCTACCTGAGAGTGTGTAGGGACCTTTCTAGTTCCAAATGTGCTTGCCAAAATACTTCACTGCTTCCAGAACTAGGTGGTCGTGGGTGGGTGACTTTTTTTTCCACACCTAACACTCTTTGGGGGCTTGAGCAATATTTAGCATTTAAGCAGTATTTAGGCACAGCCATTTAGAGTACTAAAGTTAGGGCTGTCATTTGCACAGGTGAAGGTATCGCTGAATACCATGAAAATTGATTACATTCTGTATAAATGCTCTTCTTTCACTTTAAGATTTTTCCATGCTGACAGTAAATTTCTTAATTGGTTAAAGACAATTCTTCCATTACTTTAGTTATCTTTATCACAGCTAAATAACTAACTAGATTAGTAGACATATGAAATAATTATTGTGCTTTTATGCTTCTGAATCTTTGTGGTTAAAAAAAAAAAAAATTCATTTTCGCTGAATCTTCTTACAAAAGGCTTTTTAAGGCATAAGTATGAACACTAAGTTAGCTATCTGTGACTGACCAACCAATGTTGTCTATGGCAGAAGTTCACAAGCTGCGCCTCTGCAAAGCAGCATGCAAACACTGCTTGAGGAGCCAATATTGAGAGATGTTCCTACCCCAGCATTAGCAGAAGTGAAAACTAAATTTGGGAAGCCTGGCCCAGGGTGAATATTGTTCCACATTATCAGCTAACCCTACTGCAGCTGGGGCTTGGTTGTGGTTAACTGGATGATTTGCTTAAGAAACTGGGCTGAAAAATTCTGTGACTAATATGATCTGAATGCAAGAAATTTTATAATGAAGAACCCATTCATCTGTGTAGTTACTAACTCTCCCTGTGCTTAATGGTTTTTTGCATTTTATTATTTGCCTTTTTAATTTTTTTTTTATTATTTCTCCATACTTATGATTAGAATTGTTATCAAACAAATCTAGAACAAACTAGATATTTGGAAATGTCCAGACTTTCCAATGTTTGGCTTATTTAGCAATGTGGTATTCCCCTTGCTGCTTTCCACTTAAGGAATTAGCTTAACATTAACCAGTGTGGTTGAGTATCTTTGATAGCATACTGTGAAAAAGATGCTAAAGCACTCATTCAGCAGCCTTTGTCAACACTCCAGATCATAAATGAGGAACATAAATGAAAAAGTTGTTGATTTACAGCTGAAAGGCTGGCTTCAACACATGGGATTGCTAGCTAAGCCTCTAAAATGCTGTTAACTGAAATTATAGATTGTGGCTTATAAGCAATAATAATAATCATTTGCAGAATGATCAAAAGTGTATACTTGAAGTCTTTAATTTGAGTTATTCTTTCCAGTCTAATAATTATCTTTTCCGCTTTCACAAAAGCAACTTAAATATTCAGTATGTAAGAGTTTTCGGAATATAAAAACAATTGAATAATTTTTGAGCCAAAAATAGGAAGAGGCCCTTTGGTATACAGGTCTGCCTCCTGTCTGCCATATATCTTCAATTTGATGCTGGTAGATGATGTGTGATTAAACACTGTGGCCAGCTTTGAAAATCCCATTTTAGCTTAGAAGTAATTATATATGGAAATCTGTTATGAGTACTGTGTGGGTAACTTTCATTTGTGCTTAGTAAAGTGTAAAACTGGAATCTCTATTTATAAAGCTGTTGTTTAAGCTTCCCTTTTGTTCTGTCCTTGATTGAATTCAGTCTATTCAAGTTTTGCTCAAACAGCAGGTTTGGTCGTTAGTAAATAACACAAAAATAGCTTAGCTCTTTGATCTATACAGTCCTTACATACAATGTGCCTTTAGGCATGTGTAATATAAATATTTTGTAAGTGCAAATAATTAAAAGATTTTGGATAATAGGCATGTTGAAACTAGCACTATTTTGCAGATTTTCAGTTCCTGTTGAATGACACAGGGAACAAATAAGCAAGAAAAACCTCAGATCATCTCAGAATTTACAAAGCATTTGTTTTTAATAGCAGTTATAAAAATTACTATGCTTTTAAATCCCATTATTTACTTAGGAAAAAAAAGTGTATTCTTATTGTTTTGCATAATTATAAAATGTGTAGTTATTTTAAGGTGCATGTATGGGTTGTCTTTAGATCCAGAAGTATGAAAATTGACAAGATGCATCAGACTTCTGGTTTTATTTGGAGTGTGCTGCTGCTTTTATTAATAGTACTCAGTTGATCTGGCAAAAAAGTATTTCCAGTTAAAGAGCTTTGTTACTTTTTTGATTATTAGACTGTTAAGTTAAACGTCATCCTATGACAGTGATACAAGTCAGTGAACAAATCCCATCTTCCTTTACATACCACTCAGTATTGAGGAACCCAATAAAGAAATCAGTGATTTCTGGCATGGACTCCGTCCCTGAACCCCAGCGACTGGTGTACTGTTTAATCTGAAGGTAGAACTACTTTTTTTTAATTCTTGAAAGCAGTATAGTTAGTCCATTTTGGAGCTGGTTGTCATTAATTTCTTGCCTTTTTTATAACAGTTTTGTTCCAAAAAATTGTAGTGGGGAAGTAGTCTGATAACTTGAGGTCCCCTTTGGTTCCCTCTGTGATTCTGGAGCTTATGTGAGGAGAGGGAGATGTTTCTCTGACCACTTAAAGCTAGCTCTTAAACAACTTTGAGCTCTCATGCACTGCAAGGAGCTCTCAAAGGTCCTTTCAGAGACTAGCAGCATCGCTGTCACTGCTATATGCAAAAGACAGAAGTAGAGGTACAAACACACCGAGGTTGGCCAAATTCCTCAAGAGGAGGAACGACAGCAGAACCAGGTTCCCACGTTCCAGGTCTCACTACCCTTTCATTGGAAAGCAGGGAATAGACACAGGGTTGTTGTCTCTTGTGTCTCGAGTATGGCTCTGAGCCTGACAGCTTCGTTGCATCTCCCGAGAGCTTGCCTTGTTCATATATGTATAACTGCAAAGCTTTGTATAGCATAAGATACAGAGGTTTTGTAAGAAAGACTTATTCTCAGTTCTTCACATAGGTAATTCTTCTCAATAATTATTTGTGCAAATGTTAAATTAAAAGTATTTCTAAATGCTAGTTACATTGAAGCAAGAGGCAGTCTTAAAAGACACGCTGCATATTGAATGTGTGCTTTGATTAGAATATTTTTGATTTCTTTGTGTGTAAGTCTACTCATTGTCATGATTCTGTGGTATCTGAAGGTATGGTTTAGGGAAAGCCAAGTGCAGGCTCCACCGAAATGGATAGTCCTGGCTTGTCCCATCTGTAACAGAGCATTTCTTCCGTCTCAGTTACTTGGATCAGAAAGCTGGTCTGCCTGAAAAATAGCACAGGAAAACAAAAATGGAAGATGTCTGCCTGGTACAGCTGGCTAAACCATCTCATCAATACCAGCGCAAGAGGTGGGGGGAGGAGGCTAGATTGTCTTTTCCAGCAGCAGCCCACACTGGTTTTGCCTAAATGAGTCAGGAAGCTATATTCTAAGAAAGCAAATGACCAATTTTACTTGAGATGTAAGATACACATAAGATTTAAGAGATATAAGATACAAGAGAGAGATTTACGTGTCATTTAACAACTCTAGGGAAAGTGCCTGGCACTGTTCCGTCATGTTTATGTAGCTCCCGAGCGATGTTTATCATCATGCTTTCTTAGCTCCTCTAGGTTACTATAATGATACTTAATCTTTTAAGTCTGTGATTTTCTCTCTCTGCTTTCCTCGAGAGCTTCGTCTATGTTGTTTGATTTGCTTTGGTCTTAAATTGAAAGGTTGGATAGCATTTGAAGGCAAGGCTGGAGGCGGGAGCTCTCTACCTGTCACAGGGGACAGACAGGCCTCAGATGCATCTTAGTTCATGCAAAAGCAAATGCTGGTCTCAGTCCTGCCCTCGTGGAGGCTCGGGAGCCTGCACAGGCAAATTCCATACTTGCAGTAAATGTACACCATCATCGGCTCTTGCTGACAGCTTCAGTCAACTGGCACAAGAAGCTTCACAACCCGAGGCAACTTTTGATTATCCACAACTTAAATGCTTTAACATTCTGGAAATAAAGATCTGCAGCTTAAACTTGGCACGGGGCTCTGTGGGAAACCAGCGAAGCACAAGGAACAACAGAAGGGGAGGAAGTTTAGGCAGTGTAGCCAAGGAGACACCCAGGTGCATCGCAGCTAGTTATCTGGTGCTTTTCTGGCTGAGTCTCACAAGCCTGCGTAAGTACATTGCATTGCTGTTCCTAATAGGATTTAGGAGGGGAATGTAGTGCCAAAGCCAAGCTGCTGCTCCTGAGAGGCCAGGGCATGTCACTTAGAGAAAATGGATTGTATTGCTGCTTGAGATCTCAGTATTTGGGCAGAGTCCAGTTGTGGTTTTGCTTGCAGTTTAAGTACCCAAATATAATGGCTGTGATTATGAACTTTCTCCTTTTATCTTGCTGTGGTCTGGTATCATTTTGTTCCTTGTCAACCATTATCACATTAGAGGCACAGGTTTATCAAATACCTTATCAGGTGAATGAGAAGTGTTTAGTTAGCTTTATGTTGATGATGAAGAATATTGCAAAGTTTGTCTCTTTCTCTTCTTTGGTATCTGTAAGCTTTGCAGAAACTCACCTAAGCAGGATCCTGTGCAAGTAATCTGACAGCTCAATACCAGGTTTTCCATTATTACTCTAAAGGTACTTGCTTCCAGAAAAGATCAATTAAGTGCATTTCTGTGGATCCCTGCCATTGAAGGTGATACTACAGTGGTATGAGTATGTCCTCATGAAAGATGAAGAGTATTGTTGCATCTAGACTTTGTATATGAAAAACATTACTGCAATCTCTTGTTACTTCACATTTGGAGATTGCTTATTTGGGGTTTCTTGTTTCTTTTTTTTTTTTTTTACTAAATAGACTTGGATTATCACCTGCTTTTGTCTTCAACTACTCCTGCTTAATCCTCTTGTCAAAGCCCAGAGTTCCTGCGGGAATCCAGTGACAGATGATGTGAATGACATTGCAAAATTGGTGAGTAGCTTTTATTTTAAATGATTCTTTATGTTAAACAATAATCAGTGGCTAAATGGCACTTACATTTTAAGCAAAGTTAGCAAATCTATATTAGAACCAGGGCAATATTAAAAAAAAAAAAAAATCCATCCATGTCTGTCACTTGATCAAAACCAAAACCTTTTGCAGAGACTGGATAATAGTTTCAGAGTTCATTGAAGAGGCGACCTTCTTGACCAAGGTGTAGTGTACGTACATATGTGTTTTCCTCCCTCCAAACTTCCATATAAATTGTCAAAAGTCTTGATTTCCTGAAACATTGTCTGGGATCAGATTTTTTCTCATGCAGATGAGAGAGTATTGTCTTTGTGTTACTGATCTGCATGGAGCAGACTGGCGGCAAACACAACTGAAGTGAACCAGAAGTCTTTACCTTAGGTACATGGGAAACTTGTGCCATATATAAAAATAGTATATTAGTCATCATTGTAGCAATCAAGGCAATAACGACTGAACAGCTCTTACAGTCTTTAGGTGTGAGTGGTCTACACGCATTACGTGTTTCTCTCTCTACTTGCTGTACCTAGTTTAAGTCTGAAGGACTCATGGCTTCGTATAAGAACTGAATTAATTTAAGTAATTTTAACTGTTACTTAATTGAACACTGCATTAACCTGGAAAACTGCACCTCCTTGTATGAAGTCAATTGGTATTTAACTCCACTGAAGTCAGTGATTATGCTAACTTGCAGTAGCGCAGAATCTAACACCAAAGTTTTTTAAGAAATAATATATACTGAACACTTAACACATCTTCATCTACATATTGACTTCAGCTGAAAATTATGGCTTCATTATGGAAAAACAGTTGCAATACCAGCGTTAATATTATCAAACACTTAATTTGGAGTCCCTTGCATTTGCTGCCCGTGCAGTGTTCTTAACTTGTTTTATTTGGGCATTGTTATATACATTGGCACATAGTGTAAATCTCTGGGGGTGCTCTATAGTCCTACTCAAATGCTTAGTGCTTCACGTTAGTCCCTTTAAGCAAAATTCTGAAGTATTGGCATGTTTATTCAAGATAATATTTCATCTCTTGAAAGAGTATTAAGCTTTGATTTAAACCTGTTGAAAGCATGACAGAACAACAGAACTCCTGTGAGGGCTGGTGAAATTGTCTAGTACAGGGTTAGCAATAACTTTTTGTCAATTATGTATCCTCAGAACAAATGCTTTAACTTTCCCTTTAGTACAATTTAAACTTCAGGAATGTATAAATACAGGTTACAAAAATTTGCATGCAGCTTGAGCAATCACACTTTGCTTTTGAGATAAATCATGAAAGAAACCTAATATCATAAAAATTAGGTTAGTCTTTAATTTGACTGTGACTTTCCGTACTGTGTTCCTACATCTTCCTCCAGACTGGTCCAGCAACTGCAGTTCTTGCACATATCCCTGCAGCACTACATTTCTGTACCCCCACCCTCCTCCACATCCCCTCTTAGTTGTCCACATGCAACACGGTTGCTAGTTCCCTCCCATGCCCCCTAGGCATGATGTGTACCTGAGCAACATTTTGAGCGTTTGCTGGATTTATATCCCCTTTTGCTTGGGCTGCTGGCTGGGCAGGAAGGACTTCATGTGGTGACTGTTCTGGTGTACGTGCTGCTTGTCCTGGAAGAAAACCCCTGCCAACTGTCCAGGTTGCATGGCACTTCTGCTGCGAAGCCTGAGCAGAGTGGGGTAGGGCTGCGCTCCTCCGGCCACTCCTCAGTGAGGATGCTGTACAGTCCTTCTCCTGACTTACGCCCATACCTTTCAGATCTCTCTACCAAATGCAAAATTTGGGTGAAGTTAACTAGCAAGTTCAGAGATATTTTGGGTTGGAGAAATAACAGAGAGATGCAGAAAATACAAAGCCCAGACACCTGGATTCTCTCTGGTTTTAGTTGTGCGTCTGAGAATGTTTTGAGGAAAGTCTGTATCCCTGTTTTGTCTGCCTGTGTTAATATTTGCATAGATTTTTCATGCGGAAATAATTTCTATAAAGCCACTTGAGAATTGAAAGGATAACATGGAAATAAGTTTAGTATCTTAAATTTAGTGTAAGAGCTCTTGGTTTCAATTAAACTGATTATATTGCAAGTTGGTCATTCTCTTTTGAAATGCTATACCATGACAACTTGACATTGAGAACAAAATGAAAAAAAAATATAAGGTTTAAAGTACTTTTAAAACAAAATACCATTAGCTGACAGTGTGAATACCAGAAGGGAGAAATTCACAGAGAATACTGACTGATCACATTACTTTTCTAAAAACTACAATTTTTTTATGCTATATGGAGTATATCCTTAGTACATATAATATGGACTCTAACATGATATTGCTTAAAAATATAGTTCAGGAGACCTTACCACTCTTGTAAATTGCTATAAATGTTTTTGTACCACTTCTGCTTTTTGAAACAAAATATATTTATTGAATTAAGGAATTATATTCTCATGACTTACATCTTCAAAACTAGACATAGCACCCATAGGTCTTTGGGTTCTTTATTGATCCTATTGGTCTTTAAAAGTCTAATTTCTCCGCTGATCCAAAGAGTTTGTGCCAGTAGGACGTAGTGTCTTTAATAAATGTCCTTCCCTTTCACACTGAGAACACATCGTAGCACCGAGGATTTCACAGAAGCTAATGTTATGTGTACAGTTATTGCCCATAGTTATTGTGATGTTATCCACAAGCTCTATAACACTTGCTGAGCGTGGTATGACAGTTGTTTCTGAAGGCTTTATTCTCAGCCACACTGTCATGTTCTTTAAACCCTTTTGTCCACAGTCATGAGTACAGTCCCATATCTCTGTGCAATAAACTAGCCGTTCAGCGGTAGCACACAAGTCCCATCATTTAGCTTAGGATATTGGCCTCTCTTCCTCCTCTCTCATCACAAATGCTCAGACATCAGCTTAGATTCAATATGGCCTGAATCCTCCACTGAGGCAGACTATGATCTCATCATCTCCCCAAAATGGTAGTCTTCCCTGGGCCTTTTCTCCTCACTGTAAAGGTATATCACCATCTCTCCCCAGCCATTCAGGTCTATAACAAAGGTGTCCAGTTTGGCTCTTGACACTTGACAGACCCTTGTAAGTTCACTTTTAAAACTCCATTGTTTTTCCTGTCATAATAGGAAAAAATGTTTTTGTAGCTCTCTGTCCATACAAATTCACTTCTCTTCCAAATTCTTTGTGGATAAAAATCCAGTCTACTGAAAAGCCTTTTTCTGGCTTCGACTTCTATAATTTTGCCCTTCTGTCTATTAATTTGCTGCTCTGACCCTCTATCTTCTACTTATTTCTTTCAAGCTGTTCCTCCTTTTTTTCATTATCAATGGCAACCTTCTTGGTTTTGTCTTCAAAGGCACTAACTATTAACACTGCCTGGGATGTCTTAACGCATGCTGAGTTTGCCCTCTTGTCCTAGCTTCTCCTCATTGTTTCCATGATATCTGTTACACTGTTGGTGGCCGCAGGAAGGATGCTTCTTGGTGAACTCCAGGCAGATTCTTATCCTCTTCCTACCTCATGCTAAAATTCTTTGCAGTATGAATCCGTGTCCCTCTTCTTTTTTT